CAACCTTAACCAGAAGGTCTTCCACTATGCCCCTTGGATGAACTATAGATCGGTCAGCTAATTGGAGACTCATCCTAGTCGCATGGGGTTCACCTAGGCCTAGTTTCTTGAAAATTTTGTATGGTATGACATTGATACTAGCACCAAGATCCGCCAAGGACTTCCCTACATGCAAACTACCAATCATGCAAGGGATAGTAAAACTCCCTGGGTCTTTTCGCTTCTCTGGTAGTTTGTTCTGCAGGATGGCAGGACACTCCTCGTTGAGCATCACCGTTGACAGCTCCCCAAGTTTCCCCTTGTTGGTGAGGAGATCCTTCATGAACTTGGAATACTTGGGCATCTTCGATAATGCCTCCACGAAGGGCATGCTTATGTTTACCTGCTTCAGCATTGCCATGAATTTGGCAAACTCAGTCTCCAGTCGGTCCTTGTGCAACCGAGTAGGAAAGGGAAGCTGTGGTACATACTCCTTCACCACTGGTTGCGGTTTAGGAGCAGGCACCTCAACCTCCTTCTCCATTTCATCCTCATTAGCTGGAAGTGTTGAAGCAGGGGTCTCTCTCTCCTGTGCCCGCACAGGTGGATCAGCAGTCATCTTGCCACTCCTGGTAGTGATGGCCTTGCAGTGCTCATTTGGGTCATGCGGATGAGGGATGGTCTGACCAGGTAAAGTACCAGGAGTCCTCTGAGCTACAGCCTGGGCAACACTCCCAAGCTGGGTCTGTATATCCCGCAACACAGCCTATGTGTTTCTCTGACTAGCTTCTAGCTCCAAGAACTTACCTGAAGCTTTCTCCATGAACTGCTCGATGTTATTGAACTTGTTTGCACTGGAGGTGGCCAGAGAACCCACCAAATCTCTCAATTCCGCCATCGGGTCACTATGTACTGGGGCTGCAGGTGCTGCACCTGTTTGATGAAATGGTCGCACCTGTGACTGAGGTGGAACTGGCCCCTGTCTAGTCAGGAAGAGAGGCTGCTGCGGCTGTTGAAATTGCCCTTGGCTGGGCTGGTAAGGAGGCCTCTGGAAGCCAGGTGGTCCCTGGGGGACTGGTGGTCTGGGATTTGCCCCAGCCCAAGAGAAGTTAGGACGGCGCCACCCTTCGTTGTAAGTGTTGCTGTAGGGGTCGAAGCGCCTGGCATTACTGATCAAGTCCACCTGCTCCTGGGGAGTAGACGACTCCCTCATCGCCTGGCAATCTTCCACAGTGTGATGGGTGCTCTCACACCACTGGCAGTGCATCGCCTACTGCTGTTCGGTCCCGAGAATCATCCCAGATCGATCTATGGCTGAAACTAGCTTCGATACCACCTGCACCAAATCAGATGACTGGGTGGCTACAGTATGCACACCCCGCCCTGGTGCTCTTCTCGATCTCCTGGAAGTTCCCCAATCATAGCCCTGCTCTACCATCTCTTCAAAAAGTTGATTTAGCTGTGGTGGCGTTTTGGTGAGCATATTCCCGCCACAGACCGAGTCAATCAGTTGCTTATCCTCCGGGAAGAGAGCATGGTAGAAGGTGCCCACCTTGAAGGCGTCGGTAAAACCATGGTTGGGGCACTTGAGGAAGAGACTGGTGTATCTCTCCCAAGCATCCCGGATGGTCTCATCTTCGTCTTGAGTGAAGTGGGTGATTTGCTTCTGCAGGTACGCCGTCTTGGACGGGGGATGGTAGCGAGTGAGGAACTTGTCCGTCAGGGTGGCGAACGTAGTGATCGAGCCTGGAGGTCGAGTGTCTAGGCACTTCTTGGCCTGGCCCTCCAGAGTAAATGGGAAGTACCTCAGCTGGATGGCATCGGGTGGGACCCCATTTATCTTGATTCCATCGATCAGCTCATGGAATCGCCTCAGATGCGATCGGGGGCACTCCCCCTCCTTACCACGGAACACCACCAAACCGCGCAACATCGTGATGACCGAGGTGCTCACCTCAAAGTTGTTCGCTGGCACATGAGGGTGTTGAATGGGTGACCTCATGTCCGCGGCTTTGGCGGTCCAGTAGAATCCCATGGTCTGCTCCTTAGGAATGACCACATTATGGTCCTGTGGGTCAGCCATCTCTTCTTCGTCGGCGATTTGCAGCTGTGCTAGCGCCTTCTCCGCAGCCAGTCGCGCCTTTAGAGCCCGCTTGAAGTTCCTACAGGTCCGTTCAAGCTCCTGGTCTAATGGTAGTAGTTCTCCCGACTGGCTACGGGTCATGCACTACCTTCACACAACCAGCAAAAGCAACCCGTGAAGGCACACAGGTGGAAGAGAGAAAAATGCAGTAAGGAAAAAGGCTAGAGTAACAAATTTTCACGTTTCCCCAATAACCTAGAGTTTCCCCGGCAACGACGCCAAAAACTTGACACGCTAAAACACAACACCAAACTGCGACCAAGTATAATCGCAGTCCGGGAATGCAGTAAAGTGGCAAGTTCTATTTATCAACCCGGGGTCTAGATCTACTGCCTACTCCGTGATTATCTATTATCTAGCAAACTAAGTCGAGTGATTGTTGTTTTAACTAAAAGCAGTAAGAAAGCAGGAAATGGTTCGGTTTTCTGAAGTCAAGGAAGAGTCACTCGGGAATGAGTCCCCCTAGCTCCTTAGTTAGGTCTCAATTGTAATTACCCTGGGTTGATTTACTGTTGATTAAACTGCGGAAGATCCGACAGTAGCTTGGAATCTCTTAAGCTGACCAAGCCCTCTCAGTCCAACTACCCGGCAGACGACTAGTCTTCACCGGAGTAGAAAGCCGAGGCTACGAACACAGAACTCCTCTACTGGAATTGGATTCCAGTACAAAGCAGTAGATTGACTAACTCTCGTATAACCAATCCACTACTACCGAATGATGAAGCTCTAACAACCTAATCAGATTCTATCTATCTCAGGTTGCAGCAAAAATCAAGAAAAGCTAATCAGACTTCAATTAATTCAATGAATCATGCATCATTCGATTATAATCAAACAGTATAACAATCCCAAGTCATTACAATCAAGATCCCTAACACATGGAACTAGGGTTCTTCTTACCCAAGTGAGAGAAAGTTCTACTCCATAGAGAGAGAGGGAAAAACAGAATACAAAGCAGCCATACTCATAACAATGGGAAGAATCTGCTCTGGGATGATGATTTTCACTCCTATGATGATCTCCAAGCTTGATTTGATGAAACCCAACTCCAAAACCACTCTTAGGATGTGTTCTTCGCACTTTCTCTCTCTAGGGCTCTGTTTTTGCTTTGAAAAGTCGATTCCCTCACTTTTGGCTCGGAATTGGGTAAAAACCCAGATTTCCCGATCACACGGACAGGCCACACGGCCGTGTGGCTTACCCAGATGCCCGTGTGAGTTCCAAAACGTTGCGTCTCGAATAATTGGACTTCAGGCTTCCCACACGGGCAAGGGCACACGGCCGTGTGGAATTTCCACCATGCTCGTGTGATGCCTCGCTAAATCCCACACGGCCACAAGGGTGACTTGCACGCCTGTGTGGGTTTCAGGAATGCCCGTGTGGCTTCCTCAACACCTCGCCACACGTCCGATCTTCGTCCAATCGACCCCAAACTCGCTCCCAAGCCTTCATTCACGTACTAGGACCTGAAATATCACAAACAAGCACAACCTAGCGTGAAATCAGCCTAAAACATGAGAATCCACATCTCAAACGGTGTAAGAATTGGGGTAAAAACATGTGCAATTAACGGTCTATCAGTGACCAGGTACTAGATGGTCACCTCACCGCAACTATTACCAACCAACGTACAGTCCAACCAGACAATCCTCTAAGTTTTCAAAACCACCTAAGTGGTATTTAATGGAAAATATTTTGGTGTAAACACCAACAACACTTTGTTGGAGGCAAATCATTCGGTCTTGTAAGCTATCAAATCGGTTAAAGCTCTCGCAGTGCCATGATTATCACCTCATCGAGCTCCACCACCTGCAAGCCGCCTAACAGTTTCCTTGTTCTTCTCTTTAGCTAGCTTGGCTTTGATGCAGCCTCCGAGCTTCCTCTTTCAAGAATACATGACCGTCGAACCTCAGTGTCGTCATCGACATCTCAAATCCCTCCTATCAGTCTCATCCTTTGATTTTGGCCTATTCTCATCTACTTTAAATGTACAAGCTGCATTTTTAAGAGCTTCTGAGCTTACTCGAGTCATGAATTTAGTCTTATCAGAACCAACAATAATTGTATCATCAAGCAGCTATCAAGAACCAGTTGATAACAACTCGAGTTATTGGGATCAACTGGTTCTTGACATGATATCAGAGCCTTCTGTGACCGAAAAACAACATCGAGAACTTTTGGTTCTTAGGATTTTTCGACTGGTTTAGCAAGTTCTGGAACTCGAGACCAATTCCGGTTCCAGCAGATTTTGTCAAGTATGAGACCAATGCAGGAGTTTCGGACTTGACTAATCAAGGAGCAACCTCATCATATGTTGCACTAACCGACTTACTAGGTTTTAAGGGGCTGGTAGCAACTTCATGTGCTATGACCTATGAGCATGTTCTCATCCAAGTCTTGGACCAATATGGATTGGTGGATTGATCCATGAATCCAAATGACATCCAAGTCTTGGACTAATATGTAAATTTTGAAACTTTTAGATACTAAAATGTCATAATAAAAAATTTAGGTACCAAATTGTAATTTTCCAATAATATTTTTTCGTACAAAAAATAAATTTTGGATACCAAAATGTAAAATATAAAAAAAAATATAAATACTAAACCGTAATTAATCATTTGGATCCATAGATCAATCCATGAATCCACAAATCCAATTGGATTTAGATCAAAATTTAAGTAGATGGATTAGATTGAATTGGTATATTAGATTAAAAGTTGCCACCTCTAATTGAATCATTGATAACCAGCTGGAAGTGCGCTATTCAAATAGAGCACCAACTAGAGAAAGATGATCATTGATAACTAGCCAGACGTGTGCTATTCAAGTAGATCACCAACTAGGGAAAGATGGTTTAGACGCACATCTCTCGTGTGCCAAATGCCAATACACCCCCACCAACTAGGCTGGACATCTTTCTCCACTACTTTTATTTCCAAGGTACTTTTCTTCAAATTGCTACATGGAAGAATTGTCCTATTATTATGTCTTATCTTTGAGGTAGTAAAACAAAGAGGTGGTCAAACGATATGGATATATATAATTTTATATATTATATCACAGCTTGATTGACAGAGAGGCAATTGAATACAACAACGATGTCTGAAAGAATATATACTCAAAAACTCTTAGCATTTTACATTAACGCAATCCACCGCCGCCACCAATCCAGCTCGTCACCCAACAAGCTCTCAGATAAAAGAACTTCAAAAACTGTCACTTCTGCTCCCCCCAACACGCTGGTTTGGTGTTTCCAGTAGAAAAACCAATCCACAAAATGGCGAACCAAAGGCAGCTAGCTAGCTACCTATTCTCTCACTATTTCAGCTGGTTTTGATCTTCCTTCTTCCTGGTGCTTTCAGCTCAAGTGGTGTAACACACGTCAACACATCCAGTCAGAAATTAATACACCTCTGTTGCCAAACGAGTCGGAAGAAGTCATTTCGATCTACTCGGTTGTCCATAATGGTCATGTTTAGGAGGCAGAAGTCCTAGGAAGCTGCCGCCGCCATGCACTGGCTGTTCTTGAATGGCGTCGTCCTCTGCTGCCTCGTCCTCTGGGGAAAATACCAGATGATTCAATTAACCAATGTGATCGAAAAGAAACGCTGAGAGAGTCGCCATCACTATCTTTGCTTTATTGGCCCGCAGGCAAGGTAGAAAGAAAGTTCACATCGCAGGCAGTGGGAGATGGGAATTGAAGGGTACCACCCACCCAACAGTAGCTGCCGGTTAACACAAAGCTATCCAGTGGCAGATTGCAGGTTTTCATAACGAAATGAGTTCAACAGAATTAACTTACCGAAAAGGGACTTGATCGAGGGTCTCTTCGACTTTGTGCTCTTTTTCTTCAGTTCAGCTGTCCATTGAAATGTGCAAAAACATCATTACTAGGGTGTAGCTGGAAGTGGAAGACAAACTCCCTAAGGACCATCTCAGCCATTTCCAGTCAAGGCCATGGTTGGTTCATATAATTTTTACCCTCCACAATGGTAAGTAATAAAATCTCATCTAAACATATTTTTTTTCTCCAACTATAAGTAAATCCATTTCATAATCAAGGAAATATTACTGTCCCGTCAACTATATTTTCAGAGGAAGGACAGGGCTGTACTGAGTACTGACTATTAAATGCCCACAAGAAAACATTCCCTCTGACATCGGAATATTACTCTAGAACATTATCCTGCCCGCCATGGTCTATGTCTACTACAAGCTCCCCCACTAAGCCAGCGGTACTACAATCCAGCTGTATCAGTCCACATCCACGACCCAAAACAATTATGAAGTATAACGTGCAATGCTCAAACTAGCACGTCGGATTTTAATGCTTGAAACTGGTTAGAGGCATGCATATATTCTGTCAACTGTAAACTTATTGAGCTGACAGAAACGTGGGAATAATATTTTATGCAATATCAATACAAGAACATGACAAAATATTACCTATCCCAGGCAATTGATGGTCATTCACGATTTCGAAGTTCTTGTATGTGTAACCCACGAAATTTATATCCTTGGATGATAGCATCTGTATAAGATAGACACCAAAATAAATTATATAGTGAAGGATCTCTAAACCTTCAGTTTCCACCGATTCATACGATCAAATAAGTATTGCCAAAGGTAAAATTATAATTGCTCCATGTACTTCAGGGGAACATAGAGGAAGATGTCAAAATGATATGCTTTTGATGCAAGAAAGGGATGTTACCCCCCATAAATAAAATACAACTTAGAGCGCTCACCTTTCTCCACGGTCCAGATTTGTTTGGAGTATGCATTTGGCTGTCATCCTACACCAAGAATTATGAAAATCAGAAGAAAAAGAACATGCTTCTAGAACAGGTCTTCTGGTTTGCACAATAGATAATCTACCTCATCAAACTTCTCAAAATTTTGAGTGTCCAACTCATCGTTGACCTCGGGAATAAATGCAGCTTTCATCTGATACAATTTCTCCCATTCAACGCCTTCAAACCAAGGGTGTGCCTGAAAAGAATAGGTCGAACCACTTACTTATATATCCCTTTTGAATCCTCAACTACATTTAAATCAACATTTTAAGAATAAGACACACCGCACAACACCTTTATTTCGTGCGCACCCTTAGTACCAAGCCTCAGTTCTACGTTGCATAACAGTCTACAGATCAGATCCTTAGCCTCGGGAGATAGCCTTGCTTCTTCCGGAAATTTTAAATGAGTCTTCCAATTAACGATCTGCAATAGATGAAACTGTGATCAGCATTTTTTCAATTTACTGACATTCAAATAGTTACAGTTTTGAGGACGTTGATGAAGAAGAAAACTGCTAGTCATATAGACTGAGTTGGCTCGTCTAAAAAACATAAACAATAAGACTTGAGGTGAGAGTTTACGAAGAACATTTATAACAAAAACAGTTTCAACCAAGAAAAAAAAGAAGACTGGATAGCACTGGTAAGTTGCTCAATTGCTACAAGTAAATGCTTGTCGATAAACAGCATCTAAAGAGTACCTTCCGACAAGTTGACATTGGCTCATCGGAATAGAACGGTGGGTATCCCACAAGCATCTCATACATGATAGCACCGAGAGACCACCTGGACAAAATATACAAAGTTCAACAACGACCATAAAATCCCAGAATGAGACATTTCACATAATAAATCATTAGACGTAAACAAATATAGTGTACCCACCAGTCGCATTCCATTCCATATCCTTTCTTCAGCAAAACCTCAGGGGCAATGTAGTCCGGTGTTCCAACTGTTGAATAAGCCTAAAAAGGGAAGGAAGTTACCACTATATTAGCAAGTCTTAACTGAGCTCAGTTGCTTTTGCTACTAGAGTTTCTGCAAGAAGATGAAACAAGATTTTGAACAGAAAACCCTACAGAAATGTGCTCAAATCAACAAAGATTCTTGCCAGAAAATCAACTTGAAGAAACTCATGTACATCTTTGGACTTCACCAAGGAGTTACGATGCGAACGAGAATTACAGATTCCAGAAGGGTCTCACTATTTATTTAAGAAAGTTCTTAGGCTATGCAACATGAGCTTGTTATAGCAACAAACACAATAGGGTGAACTTACAAGCATCCTCCTGTTCCTCTGCCAGTGCTGCAATTGCTCCTGTTGTGTGCGTCTTGGTACAGCAGGTCGTCCATCACTCTGAAGAACCCCACTAAGCTTATTTGATGCTGTAAAATCTTTTTCTTGGAGGTTAGTGCAATCTAGTGGTTTACATAGTCCAAAATCAGAGAGCTTCATGTGACCATGCTTGTCTAGTAGCAAATTGTCAGGCTTGATATCTCTGTGAAGCAGAAGGACAGGTGAGTCTAAATATTACCCTCGAAATAAGCAACCAAGCAACCATGATAATAAATAATACCCAAAGCCAACAGATAAATGATTCAATTACCTATGGACGTAGTTATGCTTATGGATAGATTCAATAGCCAGGACAGTTTCCCCAACATAAAACCTAGCCTCATCTTCAGTTAGGGTGTCCTTCCGCATAAGCAATGTCATCATATCCCCACCAGGTAAATATTCCATTATAAGATACAGATACTCTTCATCTTGGAATGAGCAATATAGTTTGACAATGCAATTGCTATCAACCTCTGCAAGCAAATTCCTTTCTGCTTTTACATGTTCAACCTGTACAATCATACATTTTCATTAAGCATAACCTCATGATAACTGATAAGAGCATCAAGAATTACGTAAATAGTCACAAACCTGGCCTCTGCGCAACATCTCTGATTTCTTAAGCTTCTTCATTGCATATACATGTCCTGTTGACTTCTCTTTACAGATTCTAACCTGAAATATATAAATATAAACACAAAGAAGTAAATACAAGCAAACAAGTAAGATTATTATAGCATCATAAACACAAGCTCTATGACAGACAGAGGAAGCCTCAAACTGAATGTTGACGTGCTCATGTATCCTACTAGGGCAAATATATGATATGGACATATTTATGAACACTTCATGCAGGCAAACCTTGGAGAAAGAGACAAACCCTTTATAGAGTGAAAAAGAAGATCAGGTAGTACTAGATAAGGGGACAACAGTATGAAGCTTAGATATTTTATTCAGCTATGCATCTCCCAAAAGAAAAGGCATACCTCCCCAAATGCACCCTTGCCTATCATTGTCAATGGCTCAAAATCATCAGCTCCCATTTTATGTCTAAGAATCCGCATGAACTCTGTTTCCTTTTTCTCTAAATATTTTATTAAGTTGCTTTGCTCTTCCTCAGTGACCTCCGCATCAGCCAATTTCTTCTCAAGCATATCTCGTCTGCAAGACATTGTATTATCACTCAAATTCAAAGACCACCAAAGCTCTTGCTGTCCGCAATTTCAGACAAAATGTCAAATTTACCAGAATCTCAACCCTAATAAAGATAGACAAGAAGAAAGCCAAGAGATACTCGAAAGAGAAACTATAAATACGAACAGAGAAGTAATTCTCTATGACCATATCCGCGAGTAAATCATACCGCTCTCTTCTTTCTTGCAGGTCTTTCATCTGCTTCTTATAATGATTTTCAATATACTGCTTTGCAGCTGCTACCCTTTGTTTGGTTACATTTGACGGCAATTCTTCACTACTTGGTGCTCTAGTCCCCTCTTTTCCATTGCTTGAGGCTTCTTTCTTTTTTGAAGGTCTTGCTTTGTCTTTTGACCTCAATCTGCCGAACCAACATCTTGCCGACTCCATATATCTCGATGTATAATTACCAGTACCTCCACAGATTTTTCTAGACGCAAATTTTGATCTGTGACGTTATCCAATCTATCTCGCATTCACTTCATGTACTCCTGAAAGGTCATATATTCATCTTAAGTCCTCATTTCCAGGAAGAGAAATTACAGTACAACTTATGAGTATATCCTGCATTGATAAAGCGGCAGATAATTAGAATGAGAGAAATGGTGCATGCCTTCACGATACAAAACTTGTAAGGTACTTGGTCAGATTTCACAACAATAACAAGTGCCCGAATGGCGCACAGCCGCACACCATTGAATCCCTCTAGGGTTAACATTAGGCATAAGTCCCTGGGCTGGACTTTTATTTTGATCCTGCCTAACAAGATTCACGTCATAAAATCAAAACCACAAGTTTAATGCTAAAAAAGACAGCTTGACAAGTCAATTACACCAACAGTACACCGCTAATTTGTCTGAACTGCCACATCTATTCTCTCCGGTGACTAGTCAAAATCAATCATGCAGCGTTCACTCAGCAGGTTGAAAATCTAGGACACCGAAGACCTATGTGAACTCGATCCTAATCTTCCGATCTTGTTCAGTCATCACAGTAGGCAAGCTCATCACTCACAGCCTTCCACCCCTAAGGAAAAGCAAATTGAACGAAGCAAAAAGGAAGGGGACGAACTACAGATAGCAAGCTCGTCTTCGCTCTCTCAGAAAATTCGCAACAGCTGTTCTTTTTTGCCCCCTCAAAAGATGAGACAGAAAGTCAAAGCCAAAGAAATCCCAGAGAATCCAATAAACAACAGGAGTGAAAAGGAAGGAAGGAAGGAAGGGAAAAAAGCGATCAAATCCAGAATTCAACATCGGATAAGAAAGCGCGTTCCAAAGAGAGCTCTCCCACACTTCATCCACATTTGTCCCAGATTAACCTAAACACGGAATCCAAATCCGGCAACTCAAAAAGTTTCAGAGGAGACGAGCTCCAGGCCACTTTCCCGGCCAACAGACGCAGCTCAGAACCACAGACTAAACGGGGGAAGCAATCACGAAGTGGAAATGAACAAAGAAAGAAGTGAGGGCAGCGAACAGGAATCCAAGTACTCGGAAAGCAAAAAAGGCAAACCAAATCGGAGAGTTCCAGAAAGTCGCATTCAGAATCAGAACCAGAAGAAGAAGAATAGTACCTGGGGGAGTGAGGGTGGAGGAGCTAGAGGGAAGAGGGAGGCGGAGAGGCGGGAATTCTGGACGGAGACGGAGGAGAAGAGAATGAGAAGAAGGGGAGGAGTTCATGACTCTGGAGACCACCCAACATTGTTGGTTGCGTTGAAAGTTATGAGAGAGAGAGAGAGAGAGAGGGCGTTTGGCTTTGTTGCTTTCTTTTGCTTTCTTCTTCTCTCTCTTTCAGTCTTTCTCTTTCTTTCTTTTAACTTTTTATCATTTTTCTTTTTCCCCCCCTCTCTTTGGGTTTCTGTTATTTTCACCGTTACTCGGTGTCCGTTTTCCGTTCGTCCATAAAGTGAAAAATGAAAATTCAGAGGTTCGGTTCGGTTCGGTTCCCGTCCAGCAACATCAACGGCCTTCGGTGGCGAGACATTTCATCGGCTGGTTTTTAGCAAAACCAAATTTCATTAATATTCATATTGTGTTTATATAAAAAAATATTCATATAATTATGATGACATATTTATAATCTTGTGACAAATGCAATTTTATATTAAAACTAAAATGGTCGGGTTGTAATTTTTCTCTCCATAATTAAGCACATATACAAGTGTAAGTGAATTGCATTGACATAGATACGGTGAATTTAATATAAATTGAATTGCATAAATTGTTGAGGTATATAAGAACAACATATGCACTTGATTTTTGCAATTGATTTAATGCAAACGCTTTTATTAGTTTGTTTTTCCTGTATTATAATACGGGTCCATGGTCGATTGAATTATTAGATGCTCATTAGTGTTGCAACACTTGGCTAGATATATGATGATAAGTAACATAGATAATAATATTAAGACATTGATTAAGTGGAGAAACTGTGTTAAATTAGAAACATAATAATAATGTTTATGTTCATAATAAGCTCAATAAATATAGGAGTGACGGAAAGGTGGGGGAACTGAGTTGGACCATTACCCATATCTTTTTCACCCATGACAAGATACTGTTAATTGCAGAAATAATGCAAAGGGTTTAAAATTTGATTAAGAAGAAAACAAAAGAGAAGCCTAAGAAAGATGACACAAGGAGAGAAAAACAACGGTGACAAGCAAAAACAGGGGCAAAGCTGCTAAAAGATGATCCCTCGTCATACCATCCACGCCCCCTCATTGTAGAGGATGTCCTCCTACTAGGACGATTGAAGTTGTGGCACGATTTCTCGCATGAGATCGTCCAATGAATTTTAGAAGCTTTGTTCAAGATTGAGATTCGATTCAAATTGTTTTGAAACAGATTCCAGCTATGCTAGTAAAATTCTTACAGTAAAAGGATAACAAATGAAACAGTAAAACATGTCGATCGTTAGAGAAGATGCAATTTTATTGGACGATTGATAACTAATCAGTACGTGACAGGTGCACTCCTGGATGTTTTTGCGAGATTGATGAAACGACGAGGTCTGCATAAGTTTGAGGTCGTGCTTCTCCCGGTCCGTGTTTGAGTCACGTCGAAGAAGAAACACCAATGTTTCCTCATGTTAGAGTATATGATAATGAAAATGATCATACCAACGTTATGGAAAATCTAGCAATGTTATAGTTATTTATTATCTCTTCGTTTCCCATATTCTATAGGGATCATTCTCAATATTTTAAGACATAAGTAGGACTTTAACAATTAATAATATATACACATCATACATATGTACACGGGAATATTATCGACCAATGATTAGTCTTAGTACCAGTCAACAAACATAAACTCATCATCAAACTCATAATCAATAATTCATAAACCATAAGTTCAAACTATAATCTAGGATTGACTTAACTAACAAACCTATGGTAGAGCTCCTAATATTCAGAGGATTTGTGCAGAAAGACCTCCTAGCACACCCAATTGGCTACGCCTACTCGTATTGCTTAGCATCCTTCCCTTGCCAAGTGGAAGAGGCAAACTTCATATCATCCAAGCATTGTGTGGATTGACCTCCTAGGAAGCTTGAAGTTGTGACTTGATCACTCATATCGAGAATCGTTCAATGAATTTTGGAGATCATGTATTGAAATCGAGATATGATCCAAACTTTGAATCACCCATGCATTTACCATAATTCATTAATCTAGCAATAATACTCTACCCCATCATAAAACTTAAGGGGCCGTTTGATTCGTGGATTTGAAAAATGAAGGTTTTGATAGAACTTGGGTTTTGAAAACCCATGGATATATGAGAATTTTGAGTTTATTATGGACTTGGAAAACACCATTGTTTGTTTCATATATTTCATCATGGATTTTGCTAATTAGATTTGAGTTAGGAGTTAAATGGACTTTGTTTTTTTTTAATTTCCAAGTTATATCAAGAAAGGACAAGAGTTATACAAACCACTCTACCCAAGAACCGCCTACAAGCGACACCCTACTGAAGACACCCAAAAAGCCAAAAGACTCTAACTCTAGAAGAGACAATAGCAGTGCTTTAAGTGCCACTCTATAGGCAGCACTGTTGGCAACTTTTGTAACCACCCTAAACTCTATACAATCTGGCAAAGAATCTAGTATATGAAGACACTCCCAGAGCACCGGACCTCCAAAGGAATCTACTAGAACACCTTGCTGGATCTGGTTGACGACCACCTCGGAGTCACCTTCCGCTATCACGTGAGTCAAGGATCTTGGGGCGACGATGGTGATAGAATCTCTTACTGCTAGGAGCTCTGCCATGCAGGGGTTGATTACTCTTCGGTGACGCATCCCGGTTGCCAACACTATGTGAGAGACGCGAAGACAGTGGCCGAGTTGGCCTAGGGAGGGTAATTGGGTCATTTGATTATTGTTGGGGAGAGAACTATTTAATCTACAGTCTTTGTTATTTCGATTAAGCAAGAATAATATCAGAATTCCTAAAACCCTAATTCCTCTTCTCTTCTTCGAATTCTCATCTTAATTCTCAATTCTCAACCCTAATTCTTCTATCCTCATCCCCAATTCCTATTGATACATCTGTGTTTCTCGGAATTGGTATCAGAGCCTGGCTCGACATGAGTTCATTAAGGCTCTTAAACGGGGACCAGGCAACGCAGACTGATGCTCGACTGCTGGAGGTGCTCGCTCGGCTCGAGCGAGTGGCTGAGGACATGCGGGTGGCGGCCGGCGAAGTGAAGGCAATGGCGGAGGAGGAAGAAGCAAGTGGCGCGGGACAGGAGACCATCTCCGCCATCGCAACAACGGAGACCACCGGGTCGGCGACGATGCGATTCCGGGCACAGGTCATAGAGGAGTGGGCGGTGGCTCTCCTGGACAGCGGGGCCTCCCTCAACTTCGTGGGCGAGGAGTTTGAGCGGCGACTACACCTGTCAAAGTCGCCCATCAATCCCTTTGACGTGAAGGTCGCCAATGGCGCACCGCTGAAGTGTGAATGAAAGCTGGAAGGGGTACCCGTACGGATTCAAGGGCTACATATTTCTCTCTACTTGTATGTGCTGCCACTACAGGGGTACCCATACGGTTAACGTACGATCGTACCGGTATGCTCATAACTAGAAGGCTGAGATCGAGCGCCAGGTATAGGAGATGATGACAGCATGATTGATTCGGGCGAGTTCCCGCCCGTTCTCCTCGCAGGTACTGTTGGTGAAGAAGAAGGTTGGTACGTGGAGGTTTTGCATGGACTATCGGGGCCTTAACACAGTGACAGTATGTGATCGGTTTCCGATCCCCACAGTGGATGATATGCTAGACGAGCTGAGGGGTGCCCAGTACTTCACCAAACTTGACTTGAGAGTCGGGTATCATCAGATACGCATGCACGAGGAGGACATTCGGAAGATGACTTTCCGAACACATAGTGGCCATTACGAGTACCTCGTGATGCCCTTCAGACTCTGCAATGCGCCATCAACGTTTCAGACCACCATGAACGATATCTTTAGTCCTTTGCTTCGCAGGTCAGTACTGGTGTTCTTCGATGATATTCAGGTCTTTAGTAAATCTTGAGAAGAACATATACAACAGTTGCAGGAGGTATTCGAGATATTGCAGGGAAATCATTTCTATGTAAAGGCATCTAAGTGTGCCTTTGGGGTTCAGTCGGTGGACTTGATGAAGATCCAGTCCATGATGGACTAGCCAGTGCCGAAGTCGGTGATGGAGTTACGAGGCTTCCTCAGTCTCACTAGTTACTATCGGCGGTTCGTATAGGGTTACAGTTCGATAGCGGGACTGTTGAATGCACTATTGATGAAAGGGGGGTTCAGCTGGAATCCTGAGGCCGAGAGAGCCTTCGGCGAGCTCAAGGACGCCCTATACATGACCTCGGTCTTGGCCTTGCCGGATTTCTCCCAACCATTTTACATCGAGACCGACGCGTCAAGCAGGGGAATCAACGTTGTACTATCGCAGGAGAAGCACCCTATCGCCTTCATGAGCTGCACTCTTCCTCCATCCAAGGAGGCTTGGTCAACATATCAGAAGGAGATGCATGCTATCACGGAAGCGGTCAAGATGTGGCGACCCTACTTGATCGGCCAGAAAATCCGCATCTACACCGACCACCAGAGTCTTAAGCATTTGATGGATAAGCAGGTGTCAACTCCAGAATAACACAAGTGGGTGGTAAAGTTAATGGGGTACGACTACGAGCTACATTATAGACCAGGACCGATGAACAAGGCCACCAATGCATTGTCGAGGGTGGAGATGGGGGCCGCAGGTGGCGGCGGTAACAGGGCTAGTGGTGCGGTTCTGGGACGATGTTAGGAAGGCGGTGGAGACGAGCCCGTACCTGAAGGAACAACGAGACGTAGCCCTTAGCATGACACCCGACGAGTACACGTTTCGACATGGGCTGGTCTACCTCAGGGGTCGAGTGGTCTGCCGGCGGCCACCTCCCTGACGGCGATGGTGATGTGGGAATTCCATGATTCCCCTGTTTGAGGTCATTTTGGGCATGAGAGGACCCTGAGAAAGATCCGCAGTCAGTTCTATTGGTCGCAGATGACGCGCGAGGTCAAGGATTACGTGGCATCCTGTGACACATGCCAGCGGGTCAAGGCATCCCAATTACGACAGGCGAGGTTATTGCAGCCGCTGCCCGTACCGAAGCAAATTTGAGAGGATATCAACATGGATTTTATAGTAAGGTTACCACCGTCTGGTGGGAAAACAGTATTGCTGGTAATGGTGGACCGACTCACGAAGTATACACACTTCATGGCTCTGTCCC